AAAACAGTTTTATGGGATACTTCAGTCTTTCTGTAAGTCAGAGTTGAGAACATAATTCTTTCTCTCTGAAGTTGCTTTCTTATACCACTGTTGGACTAAGAATTGGGCTGAAAGGCGACACCCATGCCTTTTTTCCAGGAAGAGACAAACTTTTAAACAAGAACGGGGGTCAGAGATCCCACTAGGCAGATTGAACTGGTGCTTTAATAGCAGATTCTCATGCACGGCTCTACAGAAGAAAGACCAGGTTCCAGATGGAAGAGAGCATTTATCACATTTTGGCATGTGAACCATAGTTCTTACCAATTTAGTTTGAGTTGTTTCTAAAGCTCTTAAACCCTTATACCAACAGAGGTACATGTCACAGAGCAAAAGGCTGAGCACTGAGGCTTTGAATAATTTCACTGTATCGGGGCTAATTTATTGCCTCTGCAGCTAGCAAAACAGCTTTAGGCCTAAACAATGATGTTCCTTCCATGCTGAAGATGATTGGAAAAGGACTTCTAAGTACATGGTGGCTGACTTGTTCAATGTTCATATAATTTATCTTCCTATGAGGATTGCAATTAATGTACCTCTTAGTAATCACAACCACTTTAGTTTTGATATAATTAATAGCCATTTTTTCTTTGCTACAAAATGCTGTTAGTATTTGCAGACTCCGCCTTGGGCCAGCCTGAGACAAGAATAAAATAACTGTACTGTCAGCATGCAAAATGAGAGATTTAGGTTTGTTCGCCAGCCATGGAGGATAAAATTAATAAAAAACAATTAAAGAGGAGTGGACTAAGTATTTAGTCTTATTTGACTTCTTTTTGAGTAGTATGGCACATCTAACATGAATAAACAATGATTAATCAAAGTGATTGGTAATCAGTGGGGAAGATGTTAGTTCCTTCCATGGCATCTCCTGTCTGTCTGCCACCTTTAGATTAATAAAGCCAGCAGAGAGACAGCTTTGAAGGTAAGGTAAGTACTTCTTCACCAAATGATGCAGGACTATGCATTGATTGAGAATTCTTGTCTGGACCTAAAGCTGGCAACACATTATATTGAGTCAGGCAGTCCACTACTTTCCTATATAGATCCCTGGCCGCTAATTTATTAATAATGCTCAGGAGGCTGATTGGACATAAATTGGCCAGGCCAATCTTACTGCCTTTTAAAAGTTAGAGATTGACACTACCCATGAATCTGAAAAGAAAGGTCAGTGTGGAAAATCAGGATAGCTAGTATGACAGCCCACCAGTCAAAATTTTGCTTTTTATTAGTTCTGCCAATGTCAAATTCCCTCCCTCTCCCCCTTGCCTCATATGGCTTTATCATCCTTTAGCTCTGCTATGAGTTTAGATTAACTTGGAAGTGGATATGGGATACCAATCAAATAAATATTTTATACCCAGCTCTAAAGATGTTAGTTCTGAATAGGCTCTACCCATGTCTCAGTTGAAATTAGCCACCCTACCCTAGAGGCATCTTTGGGGAAGAATAGCTCATAAATTGTAAATATATATATATGTGGAGTATTGATTTTTTGTTGTTTCATCTAACTTCCTTTAGTTAACCATTTCTTCTTTTTTATTTTCCCTTTTTCAGCAGGGTCTTTCAATGTTTCTTCAGATTCAGTCCAATCCAATAATCCCATTATTATTTCTGATAGCTCTGCAGGCTTCAGTTAGTTTAGCTTTTGTGTGGGCATGTGTGCTTTTGAATCCATTTTGACTCCTTGTGACAGTCTGGACAAGTTCATGCTGTTTTCTTGGCAGCACTTTTGGAATTGGGTTGCCATTGCCTTCTTCCTAGGGCTGAGAGAGTGTGACTGGCCTAAGGTTATCCATCTGGATTCATTACCAAGGTGGGATTAGAACTCACACTCTCCCAGTTTCCAGCCTGATGCCTTTAACCATACACCAAACTGGCTCTCAATTTAGCCTTAGCTTCAGGGCATTCATAATCAAATCAGAACTTGTTAAGAGGCTACAGGGAAGCTAACAAAAATGGAATGGGATTCTCTCAACCTTCTTATTTGAATATTCCTGAGTAACATAGTTTCATCTGCACAACTGTGCTCTGGCCTGAAACCTAGAGCCTTATAATCTAATTTCATGTTAAGAGAGGAATGATCACTATCATAATGAAATCAATCTTAAAACCAACTATTTTGATACATTTTGAGATATTAACATATAATGAATAGTACTCCTACCCACTCCCATTCTAGAAGATTTTGTCTTAGGAGTTGCCTTTAACTGATCCAATTAGAATTTAAAAGCAAGCAAACAAACAAACAAACAAACCCAATTCTATTTGGCTATTCTCTACCCCCTGTAATTATTTCCCTTATCTCTCAAGAAAGCAGGTTGAAAATAAAAGTGACCAATAAATAATTAAAATAGAGGAAGTAAAGGGTTTCTTCATTGGATTCAATGCCATGTTAAAGTCACTAGCAAGAATTAGTTGGTATATTTTACTAACAAACCCAGAAGATAATTACTGAACATGCTCCAATTGTCATTAAGATGATTTACATAGACATTGATTAACTACAACAACATTTAGTTCCCTGGTTTCAGTTTGATAGCCATAGGCAAGAAATGAGAAGAGACATGCTTGGGTATACATAGTTTGGCTAAAATTAAGATACTGAGACCACCTTGGGTCCATCTTCTCTTAAGCATAACTTGTAGTGATAATGAGATATAGCCACTGAGCACTAAGGTTCACTGTTCTAAGTCTCTTGTAAGACAATTATGTAAATTCTGTTTAGTAGACTTGTGAAGGTCATTCCTTTTGGTGCAGCATCTTACTATATTCCAGGAAATCAGGAGATATTTCATTGAATGCCCATCAATCATTCAATAGATTTTTCTTCCTAATTGACCTCAGCTGGAAGAAGCAAGGGAAATTCAAGAAGTCTTTTCTAATCATAGAACATGATTAAGGGTAGTTATGTTAGAAAAATACATAAAGGAATTTTATGTTGTTGTTTTTTTAATAGGTAAAGTATATTTTTAAATATTTCTATAAGAAACAATTGTGTACAGCAGTCCCTTATATCACAAGCAAATTGTGAAGGTCAATTTAAAAATAAACAAATAAATAAACAAATGGAAAACCAAAATAACGGCTTACTGATATGGACACAAAAAGAGAACGGATTTCTATTGATCCATATAACTCTATCCCACATAGATAGGGAAACATTTAAAAGACCTAGGGAACACCTTCCTAGAATATAGATAGTCCTCACTTACTGACCGCAATTGGGACTGCCAACTCTGTTGCTACGTGATGTGGTTGTAAAGTGAAAAATCATGTGACCACACCTGACTTATGACACGTTCCGTTTGTGGACATTAAGTGAATCACCACAGGTTGTTAAGTGTGATGTCATGTGACTGCAACTTGTGACTTCCTGCTGGCTTCCCCATTGTCTTCACTTGTCGGAAGCCAGCTGTGAAGGTTGCAAATGGTGACCACGTGACTACAGGATGCTGAGTCCATTGTAAATGTGCACTGGTTGCCAAGTGACTGAATCTCAATCACATGACCACAGGGATGCTATGGTGGCTGCAATCTCAAGGACCGGTCATAAATCTCCTTATTCAGTGCCCCATAACTTTGAACTGTCACTGAACAAATGGTTGGTAAGCGAGGACTACTTGTACTTCAATTCTCAGTAATTAAACAGAACACAGCAAACTTGCCTGATGTGGAGCTGGTTTTAAATATTATACCTGCACCACAACTATTGCAGACCAAGATTACTTCTCATTCTGAGGTTATACAATGTATTAGATTGCTACATTTTATCAGTGTAACTGTTACCTGTTAACTTATTCCAACCATGACAGCTATTTCTGGCATCACATTAGGCAGGCACATAAATATATTTCATACTTAACCAGTGGCCACCATACACCTTTTCTACATGGTTTTTAAAGCTAGAAAAGCATATTGGTGCCTTTCAGCCTTTTACAGGAAGTCTGACAGAGGAGGTGGGGGTGGGGGGTAATCTAGCAAATATCTTGGGAAGAGTGTGAATTAGCGGGAACACTAATGTTCAGTTTAAGACTGTTAACTAAATGAACTGGAAGACTTTCTAAAACATGACATCATTGCTAAGTGGTTCCCCTGCCTGCAGTCCCTCCTAGTGAGGAACGGTAGTGAAAACTTTTTAAGATAGAGAACATCCTTTCCTAGAGATTGTTCCTCATACACAGCCCATTGCTCTTACCAGGAGGATTGCAGAATCTTTTCAGGCCACTTGTGGTTGACTAGCTGTTCCTTGCCCACCGTCTTCAGACTGGTAGAAGTGTACATCGAGGGGAGGTAAGAAAATGAATTTTCACCTGCCTTATATTCCTTGAATGACGGGGACAGGAAACTACTGTAGAACATGCACAGCTACCCAAAACAAGGCAACCTCCCATAAGAACACAGGAGTCAAATATGAAGAGAAATGTGAAGGCACAGAGAGCACCGTGACTCATAAAGAAAAAAGAGGCAAGCAAAACATATACACACAACTCATTAACTAACTGTATTAATTAGACTAGAAGGATTGAAAGCAGTGACATTTTAAATGGTCTCAGTCAATGCTTGTGGATTGGGCTTTAATAACTTTCCTGACTAACTTTAATGCCATCTAATTAGCTCATCTCCCATTACAGATTTTCTCCATTCAGCTGGAATGAATTTAAATGTATACATAGACAGGATCAGAACCAAAGAGGCTTAAACTTTTCTTGTCTTTGATGCAATGATAGTGCCATTAATGTACTGGGATATAGTGTAAGGAAACCTCTAGTAAATGGAAATACTGCCTTTTGTGGTAAAGCTGCTGCTATACGTGCCATGATATAAAAAGGAAAGATTAGAGCATTAATCCAAGTGAAATGTCCTGTTTAATATGCTTGTGATAAGAAACCTCCCTAGGTAATAATGTATTTCTAAGGCAAGAGATTTTTGGAAAGTTAAAGCGAAGTGGAAAAACTTACTTTTCTGACACCTTCTTCCAACATAACCCTCCATACAGGAGCACAGATTGTTCCTCATACACAGCCCATTGTTCTTACAAGGAGGATTGCAGAATGCTAATTATAATGTAAACAAATAAACTAAGGTTACCAGTAGTAGGACAGACTTCAGCAGCCTAAGGCTTTGGTAATACTGTGCCCACACCAATATTCAGGACTAAAGATTACTTGTAGAATCTGATTTTTTACAGAAGCCCTCCCAGCAAAGGACTTCCTTTAATTGAGGTATGCTTCCTAGCATACACCGCAGTGGTTAGCTTTATATATGAAGTAAGTCATAATGTGGTTTGTTTTCTTTCAGTTCAGTTCACTGTATGACTTCAGCCACCACAGTTTATGGGGTATCGTGCAAACACTGCCAATTATGTTTATGCAATTATGTTTATGATTAAAGAATTAATCGCTTAGTACCATGTGTGACTCAGACTGAAATTTGGTTGTCTTAGAGCTTTCCAGTAAATCCACAGTAGCAAGATAATCTATTGCAAGGCATGATGATACAAAATTTGCAAGGCCTGAAAGAATGTTGAAATGTCATAGTGGACTAGCTGCTTACGAATAACACAGTCCTATATACGTCTTCTAACAAAAAAGTTCCACTGAGTTATTTTCAGGTAAGTATATGTAGGGCAGCAGCTATATAGCCTGTTACCAAAGATGAGGTTATTGAAATTTGAGAGATTGCACTGTTAAACCAATATACAGTGGAACCTCGCTTTACGAACTTAATTCGTTCCGTGACTCTGGTTGCACCCCGAATTGGTCGTAACCCGAAGGAAATTTCC